GGGGCAATGAAGGTGGGAGGGAGCTGGAGTCGGGCACAGGGGCGGCGAGAGGGGGGGCTGCTGGCAGCTGGACTGCCTGTGCAGCTGAGGCTGGCGCTGACATTGATACTGACACATGCGCTTGTGGTGGGGGAGCAGGCTGATCATGGGTCTCTTGCGCAGGGGGTTGGGATGTGGCATCGTTGATGTCGTCCATAGCAGTGTCTTCTTCAGCGGTAGTCTTGACACGCTTGGCAGCCGACCTCTGGCCCCTGGACGACGCCTTTCGCTTTGCTCGACCGCCGCTCTTGGCCGCCTTCTTGGCCTCAGCCTGCTCATCAGACGACTCGTCGCTTCCGTTCTCCCCCCACTCCTCCGAGTCGTCGCTTTCCTCCTTCTTGCTGGCCCTCTTGCTGCCCTGCTGCCGCTTCCTCTTGCCAGCGGTGTCCTTCGGCTCTGCCTCTCCCTCTCCCCTCCCGTCACGGCCCCCGTCGACAGCCTTGTCAATGGACGATAGGTCGAACCCGCCGCCAGTAGTGGTCTTGCTCGAGGCCGCCGCGGCCTTGTTGCGCGCCTTGACAGCCGTCCTGATGGACCGGTGCTTGGGCTTGGCCACCACGGGCGACACTCGGTTGGGCGGGGGAGGGGGCGACTTGCCCGCGACGAACCTCGAGGGCAGCTTGATCATGCCTTGGTGCTGAGGGGCCTTGTCTGCGGCGCTCCTCTTGTCGGTGTCGATGCGGCCATTGATGCGGACAGGGGACGGCTGGGGAGCAGCCGGGGTGGGGGTGGGGCTGGGGGTAGGTTTGCACTTCGCCGCCTTTCTGCCGCTCCCTGCTCCTCCTTCACCTTTGCCCTTGCCACCGCCACTAGCTCCCAGGTAGACCGACGTTGCCTCTGACGCCTTCGGTTGTGACCCGGACACGGCCTTGCCGGGCTTGTTTGGCGCTTCCTTGACGCCGTTCTGCTGTGGCTGCTTGCTCCTGCCTCCCTTGGCCGCGGCCTTTTCCCTCCTCTCTTCTTCGGAGGAAGATGACGACTCGCCGCTGCCAGACGAGCTGGAGGATGAGCTGCTCCCGGATGAGCTGGACGAGTCTTCGGAGTCGTCATCGTCTTCGGCCTTGGGGTCCTCGCCCTTCAGGAAGTCCATCGAGTGACGATGGCCACAGGAAATGAACAATCAACTGCATCAAGTCAGGCGCAACGAAACACACACACACACACACACACACATACACATACACATACACACGTGTGGCCTGGGTGAGAGCCAAGTGTTTGTGATCTCTGTCGTTCTGCTCTCCTCGGCCGACAAGCTTGTGCATTCAAACGTTTGCAAACATACATCCGCAATGCGGACGTACCTGATGAGAAGGAAGCTCGTCAGCCTCTGCTGCTGCTGTGCCGGGCAGATGCAGGGGAAAAAACATTCACTCCCACCTCCAGCCGTAGCTCGCTTTGGCGACGAAGCTCGCTTTTTTCTGAGAACCCTTTTTTCCCCCCTTCTCCCCCACCGCTCTATCCTCTTTCTGAACCTTCTCCAACGTTCCCCTACTTTTCCAAAATGGTACCCCTCAAAAGACCCCGTCGTCTCCCCCCCTCCTCCGGCTCACGCTTCCATGGGGCCCCGCCCTCGAGGACGGAGAGCCGGGAGGGGCACTGCACGGAAGGAGGGAGTGGGGCGGATGAAATGCTCACGGGCGTGTCGTGACTGTCGCGTTTGTTTGTGTGTCTGTCTCCCCTTTTTGGGTTCAGGTGAAGATTGACCAGGCCATCGCCAAGGAGCTGGTGGAGAGCGCCGAGTACATCTGCGCGCCGGGCAAGGGCATCCTCGCAGCCGATGAGTCCACAGGTAACACACAGACGGGCGTGGGGAGAGGGAGAGGGAGAGGGAGGGCCGGCCCGGTTTCCTTTTCCCATGTCTCTCTCTCTCCCTCCCCCACACTCCCCCACAGGGACGATCAAGAAGCGTTTCGATGCGATTGGTGTGGAGAACACTTTGGACAACCGCGCCGACTACCGCGAGCTGCTGTTCACGACCAAGGGCCTCGGCGAGTATATCAGCGGCGCCATCCTCTTCGAGGAGACCCTCTTCCAGAAGACCTCCAAGGGTCAGTCAGCTAGGAAGAAGGTTGGGGGTATGGCTGGCGTGGCTGAATGAGCTGGTGGGGTCTTGATGTGATGTGTGTATAGGTGAGATGATGGTTGACCTGCTGAAGGGCCAGGGCATCCTGCCGGGCATCAAGGTCGACAAGGGCCTCGTCCCCCTCCCACTCAGCGATGGAGAGACCGCCACCACCGTACGTATATATAGCACGCACCCCCACACACAGAGACTGACTGAGACACAGAACCGATCCCTCTTCAATCTCTTTTGTTTGTGTAGGGTCTTGATGGTCTTGGTCAGCGCTGCAAGGAGTACTACGCCGCTGGAGCCCGTTTCGCCAAGTGGCGTGCGGTGCTCCAGATCGACGCCAAGACACACAAGCCCTCCAACCTCTCCATCATGGAAACCGCACACGGACTCGCACGGTAGGTAGCCACACACAGACACACACGCACACACGCACCCCCAGACACCCATTGGTGTGTCTCCGTGTCTCTGCGTGTCAGCTACGCGGCCATTTGCCAGGAGAACAAGTTGGTGCCCATCATCGAGCCCGAGATCCTGACCGACGGCAACCACGACATCGAGTACTGCGCCGAGGTGACCGAGAAGGTCCTGGCGGCGGTTTTCAAGGCCTGCAGCGACCACCACATCCTTCTCGAGGGTGCCCTGCTCAAGCCCAACATGGTTACGGAGGGCGCCGGTAACCTCCCAGCAGAAAGAGACATGGTGATGGTGCGTGGCGAGCGATGTGTGTGTGTGTGTGTGTTGGGTGTAGAATGCAAGACCAAGTCGAGTTCGGAGGACATCGCGTACTACACGGTCCGCACGCTGAAGCGCACGGTGCCGCCTGCCCTGGTGGGCGTGACCTTCCTCTCGGGCGGCCAGTCGGAGGAGGAGGCCTCCGTCAACCTCAACGCCATGAACAAGGTCACCTCACACTCCGACACACACCACCACACACACACAACAAGGGCATGATCCATCTCTCTTCCCCTGTCTGTCTGTCTGTCTGTCCCTGTCTGTGTGTGTCCATCCATCCATCCATCCACGGCGTGCGTCAGTTGTTCGGCCCGACCCCCTGGAAGCTGACGTTTTCGTACGGCCGTGCGCTGCAGGCGTCCACTCAGGCGGCCTGGGGCGGCAAGCCCGAGAACGTTGACAAGGCAAAGGCGGTCCTCCTCGCCCGCGCCAAGGCCAACAGCGAGGCTCAGCTCGGCAAATACGCCGGTCAGTGGCTGGCTGGCAGGGGGGGAGGGAGGGGGCCAGACAGAGAGGGAGGGAGACATACGTGATGTATGGTGTGCGGTGTCTGTCTGATTTGGTATGTGTTCAGGCGGGGTGCAATCTGCTGGCTCCCTGTACGAGAAGAAGTACGTGTATTGAGCGATCGATCCATCGACTGACTTGGCTGGCTGGTCAACACACACCATAGACACATACACACACGCATTTCATGGCAGACAGGCAGACAGACCGACCCAGTCAGTGAGTGAGTTGACATGAATGCCCGGCCTGGCCTCACTGAACGGCTGCATGGCTGCATGGCTGCATGGATGGATGGCTGTGTTTGCCGTGAGTGCACTCACACGTAGCAGTTTTGTCTCTCCGCCAATTCGTCTGTTTGTTTGCCCCTGTCCGATCCATTTCTTTTTGCTCGGTCGGTTCGATGCTCGATGCGCACAGTGCAAACGCGCTGTCCACCCACAGACGGCCACACAGGTAGCATAGCCACAGACAGGGACACAGCACAGCAGTGGGTGCGTGTGTAGTGGGTGTAGCAGTTGAATGGCTTTGTTTTTCCCATCCGTCCAGTCAGTCCATGAGTGATTGCGTGGCAGACAGAGGGAGGGAGTGACGCCTGCATTGAATGGCGGGGACAGGACACCTGAAGGGAACGATGAAGCATTGATGTATCCATATCTCTCGGAAGGTCTTGGAGGCACAGAAGATGCGCACACACAGCCACAGCCAGCGAAGCTAGACCTAATGGGTACGTCGGAAGCCGCCCAACACGCCAATCGCTCAGGCAGCAAATTCTACCCACAGCCCTCCTCCTTAATACCTCACACACACATCCTAGCAATTATAACCCACCCTCCCTCCCGCCCCCCGTATCTCTCACTCTCTCTCCTTCTCCCAATTGGCTACACTGGCTGTGCTGTGCTGTGTCGTCTGTGGTCTGTGAGTACCCTGTGTCTGTCGATCTACCAATCTATCCATCTAGCTCTCAGAGGCGTTGGATGAGATACCGTAGTGCTCGGGGCTACCGCCGGTGATGTGCTGCAGCGGATGGGGCGGGTACTGCTGCCGGCCCCTGTGGGCGTGGCCAGACACAGACGACACAGCCGGGGCGGGGGCAGACTTGGCAGCTGCACACGCACACACAGAGAGAGACAGATTGAATGCGGGTGAGAGAGGGGGGGGAAGGTGTGTGTATGCGTTGGATCGGCTGACCTTCCCAGGCCAGGCGCGTGTCCTTGGCCTTGTTGTAGGCCTCGTTGTAGCCGTGCTCGCTGACCAGGAAGCGCTGCTCCTTTGGCTTGCCTTTCTTGCTCTTCATCGTCGCCACCCACGCCTCCTGCCCACACTTGCCGTCATACTTGACACCTGCACACACAACACACACACACACACACACACAGGGGGACACACACACTCAGACACAACATTCTGTTTCCCATGTGCGGGTCTATCCCCGCTCACCGGTCATTTTCTCCACTGTCGTGTTGGTCTTCTCGGGCACACGCGTCGTACCCCCCTCTCCCTCTCCCTCTCCCTCGCCCCCTTCCCCATTGCCTCCCGCACCCTCCCCATCGCCCTCCTGCGGCTGCTCCGGCTGCTTCTGCTGCTTCTGCTCGGTCGTGGTGTGTGTGGCCGTCATCCCGTCGCCTGTGCGCTTGGCCGCCAGCAGCAGGCCCCTGGCGCTGTTGACGGCGAGGCTGAATCGTGAGGGGTCGTTGAGCACCTCCTCGGGGATGACGAAGGCGTTGGGCCCGTCGGTGGTGCCGTCCTGCGTCATGCGCACCAGCTCGAAGGACCCCGTAGACGACGACACACACACTCGCAGACTCAGACCAGCATTCGTCTCCCCCTCCCCCCCTGCCGCTGCTGGTGTCTTGCTGGGCGGGTGGCTAGGCGGCTCCGCCATGGCTGCCTGGGGGGTCTCTGGGCGCGTCTCGGCGGCGGCATTGCTGGCGTCCGGCTGCTCTAGGTCGATCACGACGTGGCGCTTGCCGTCCTTGTTGTGCTGCGACTTGGGGGTCAGGGCTGGGGGAGGGGGAGGAGGGATGAGTGTGGGTGTGGGTTTGGATGTGGCCGTGCGGTGTTTCTTGGGTCTTGGTCGGCGGTCGTCCTCGCTGTCGCTGCTGAGGTATCCCGAGTTGGGACAGGGCTGGGAGGACTTCTCTTTCCTCTTCGTCGTCTTGCTGCCTTTGATGGTGGTGCTGGTGGTCGCGGGGGTGGTCGTGGCCTTCTTGGAGGCGGTGATGCGGCTCATGTGCTCCAGCAGCATGCAGTCCTCGTCACCTCCTCCAGCCTCACACTTGCCCTGCCCCCCTCCCTCCCCTTGGCCCTTCCCCCTCTCCACAGCCCCCATCCCCTTCTGAGTCGTCCTCATCTTGTTGGCCGTTGTGTGGTTGGTCTGGCTCGATGGCTGCTGGTGCTCGGGCGGGCGGGTTGGCTGCTTCGACAGCCCCGAGCCGACCGCCACTCCCACAGCAGCCCCAGTGCCACCGCCGCCACTGCCACTGGCAGAGGGGTGGCCATCCACCGGCGTGCTACTGCTGCCTCCGTCCCCACTGCTACTGCCATTGGCGTTGGCCAGTTTTGCGTAGATCTCCTCCCGTGCCGCACAGGCGTTGAGGAGGGCGCTCTCGAGCTGGTATGGCGAGGAGTCGATGGGCTGGAAAGGGCCGCTGATCCTCTCGGTGGTATTTGTGGGTGTGGCCTTGGTGACGTAGAACGCCTTGGAGTGTGTGTCCCAGATGAGGTGGTTGCTGCCGCCGCCGGAGGGGCGGGAGGGGTCGGGCTGCAGGGCGTCGATGGCCTTGAAGGCCGTGTCGTCTAACTCTGATACGTAGATCAACATAAGTAGAGAGATGGACGGCAGATTCAAGCTTACCGTGGTCAGGCTGGAAATACGGCGGATTCTCGTCGAGATCAGGCAGCGGCGGAGGGATGCCTGCGACAAACCAACCATCCGTCCATCCAATCCATCCATCCATCCGCAAAACATCCTCCCATCTTCTTCTCATCCTCCCATCTCATCTCACCTGTGTGCGGGTCCATCCCCAGCCCTCCAAATATCCCGCTACTGTCGCCCATGACGCCCATCATGTCTACATCTCCGCCGCCATACGGCCTCAGGCTGCTGCTGTACATGCCGCTCGATGCGCCATGGCAGGGCTGGAAGAACGGGTCAAAATCCGGCGCTGTGTGAGGGAAAAGGGCGCTGTCCGGGGGAGGGAAGCCGGAAGGTCTAATGTCCATCGTCAGAAACCATCAAAGTCACAAAACGACAAGGAACGTTGGAGCGCCAAATCGCAGATCTATGGCCATATTAGTCATCCTGGCGAGCCGAGCTTGCAGGCGTGCTGGAGCAGGAACCAGTAGATTACTTGATGGTGTGCCTCCATGTAAGTGTGCCATTTTCTCGATGGACAGAGTTAGGACCTGAGAAGTGCCTGTCCATTTAGAAGCCACCAGTCACATCTCTGTTTGTGGGTGGAGGAGTGGATGCCTTCATGTCCTGGAGGATGACAGGCAAGCAAGACTCATGGTTTGGTCGCCTCGCCCATTCAAGTATGAGTATATCGACAATGAGGTCAGCATGTCAGCATGGGGGTCTACAGACTAGAGCAATTCCAGTTCACACACACAGAGCCACACAACACACAACACACAACACACACAGAACCGTCAGCTGCCACCCCAACAATCATTCAAAACAACAACCCACCCCGATAAAATATAGTGGGGAGAGAGAGAAAGAGAGAGAGAACGAAAGCACTACCAGGCTACCTACCGCTCGCCACCCCACAAGAGTCGCCGCCGTGCAGCGGCCTTGCCACCACCCCCACCGGCAGCGTCATCCCCCTCTGGCTCCATCCCCGCCAGCCGTCTGCTCCTCCGAGGCGACTCACTGCCAGCCTCTTGGTGGGTCGAGTTGGACCGAGTGCTCGGCGTGTAGTCGGGCTTGCCGCCCGCTCCAGTGGTCTTGCCCTGGGCGGTGGCTGCGTCGTCTTCGTTCTCGTTCTTGGCCTCTGCCTCGCGCATGGCTTTCTTGGCGAGTTGAGTGAGCATGTAGATGAGGCTCATGAAGGCGACCAGGCCCACGACGACCACCACGAGCTTCCAGGTGTGGAGGGAGTCCTTGGCCGCCGAACCGCCGCCAGCGGTGAAGACTGATGAACGCCGAACAGTACAGAGAGTGTGTGCCTGCTCTGTGTGTGTGTTGGTTGGTGTAGTGTCTGGTTTGCTTACTCTCTGAGAGTTCCTTGACGTCGCGCCCTATGAAGGTGTAGGTGAGGGCGAAGGGGATGCCTGTCGTCCACGTGGCGAACGTAAAGTGCCTGCAGACAATCAAATCAAGGCATTCACGTCAGCGTCACATCACCCACCTCCCCACCCCTTCGTTCGTCGTGTCAGTCAGTCGCCCACCAGAATTTGACTCCCGTGACGCCCAGCGCATAGTTGTTGACAGTGTACGGCAGCACGAACCGAGCGGCAAACACAATCTTAAGACCCTCCCGATGCACTGCATTAAAGGTGCAGACATGCACACATGTGCAGTCCGTCCATTTCCATGACTCACCTCACCCACCTGCTTTATCGAGGGCCCTGAGGACGGGGCTGCTGTGTATGCGCCGCTCTATGGAGGTACGGAAGAACGTCCGGCCCAGGAAAAACGACAGACACGCGCCGCTCAGGCTCCCTACAGGACCAACCACGCCAGACAACAGCAGCAGGGATGCCAAAGGGAGGGGAGACCACAACTGAGTGGGGTCTCGTCTCGTTGTGTGCCACCTACCCACCTGCTGACACGAGGAATACGGCGAGTAGGTAGTTGGAGAAGAGGAGGCCGGTGCTCATGCCCAGCAGAGGGGCCGGCACACACAGCACCGCCGCCTGCACACACACACACACTCGGACACATGACTGACAAGACTGCCAGCCTGCCTTCCTGTCTGCCAGTGGGATGGATGCCTCCGTACCACAGCATAGAAGAGGAGATAGCAGATGACCACTTTGCCCAGGTAGTCCTCCTGCACACACATCCATCCATCCAATGCCACCACACACAACCCATCCATCTCTCCATGAATCAAGCAATCAGCAGTCCATCCTTTCCCTCCCTCCGTTCCAGCCCGCCCACCTGTTCGTGCTGCAGCCACACGAAGAACGCCTCGGCCCACTGAATGACAGGATACTTCCACGACACCACGCCGATGCCGATGAGCATGGCCGTGCCGATAACCAGTCCCATATGGCTGCTGACAAACGACTTGGCGTCCCTCGAGCCCGGCATTGTCAATGGAGTCGCGTCGGTGGCTGCTTCAGCCTGCTTGGCGGACGATGCTGAGTTCTGCCGGTGCGGCTCGGCCGTCATGGAGGAGAGGAAAGATGCCCTGCCCGCTCAGTTCTGTTCTCAGATTCTGCTGACTTCAGAGCTCGCAGCGCTCCAGCGATCCGGGTGAATACGGCCCACAGATGGACAACCACAGCTTAGCTTATTCGGTTGGTCCGCAACACCGGCTGGAGGAGGGAGGCATCAGTCCATCTCTGCAAGGGAACTGACGCTGCCACCTACGATGGCTGTCGTCCTGGACCCATCGACCCTCTCGTACTCAGAATTCGTCAAGCGCTTCATGCTGTCTGGAAGGCCTGTGCTCATCAAGGGCCTCTGCGCCGACTGGGGTGCAAATCAGCAGTGGACCACTGACGGTCTGCCCGACTTTGCCAAGCTTAAGCGCCTCCCTGATGTGAGAGTACCGGTGGTGCATTCTTCCGGAGGAGATTACCAGTGCTCAGAGATGAATCTGCATGAGTTTCTCTGCTACTGGGAGAGGAGGCGGGACGCTGCTGCTTCCTCTGATGAGCCGGAAATCTACCTGAAGGACTGGCACTATGTCGAGGAGATTCTTGGCGGAGAGGGAGAGAGGAGGGCGTCGCTCTATCCGGTGCCTGTCTACTTCGAGGACGACTGGTTCAACAAGTATGGGCTGAAGGGGGACTCGGACATTGATGACTTTCGATTCGTCTACTGGGGGCCGCGGGGGACCTGCACACCTGTGCACATGGACGTCCTGGGCAGCTTCTCATGGTCAGCCAACATCTGCGGGCGGAAGAGATGGCGCTTTTTCCGGCCGGAGCACTCGCACCTCCTTCGTGACCGATCCGGGCTGCAGACGGTCACCCACCTCGATTGCTATGACACATCGGCCTTCCCTCATGTGAGGACCGCCCCGGTCGTCGATGTGGTGCAGGAGGCCGGTGACTGCGTGTTCGTGCCGAGCGGCTGGCACCACCAGGTGGACAACCTGGACGACTGCATGTCCATCAATCACAACTGGGCAGACGCCGCCAACATCCGGGAGGTGCTGCGGGTGCTCCTGGCCGATCTGAGGCGTGTCGAGGGCCTCCTGGCGTCTGACCGGGGTCTCTTCGACACCGACGTGGAGTACACTTTGGCGTGCCAGCGGATTGTGCACGCCAACAATGGCGTGGATCTCTATGGTTTTGTGGCGTTCCTGCTGAGGTGCGTCAGTGGAGAGATGGAAGCGCATCGGGCGTTGGGGAACGGAGACGACGCCTCGGTGTCAAAAGTGGAAAGGGCGATGAAGCTGCTGTCGCTTTATCGACTGGGGCATCTGCTGGCCACGCTCGCGAGCGGCGGATATGGCCCGACAAGGCCGTCAGGGGGCGACGCTGCTGCACGGAAGGAGGAAAGTTGCTGTGCCGACGTCCTGTCAGCAGTGCGGCTCATTGCAGACGAGCTGACAAGTGCGTCGGGTGCTGAGCTTCAGGACGAGGTGTGTGCCATGGCTCGCGCATCTAAGGGCGAGGCAGTGAGCCTGGGGAAGAATGATAATGATGACGTAGCACCACCTGCAGTGCGTGGGATTGAAGAGATATGGGGGGCCGTGCGGGCGAGGGGATGGACTTCTGACGATTGATTGATGTTTATCCGCGCATTGCTTTGTTCGCGTGCCTGTCGTCTCACTCATGAGTGCCCACCTCACCACACAAAGACAAAGACCTTCTTATATGAATAAAAGGAGGGGGAAAAATGGAGGCCACTGCCAGCGCAAGAGAGGCAAAACCTCTGTTACTCCTTGCTCGTTCAACCAGCCGTCGGCGAAAAAGTGCCGAGACAGTCAGTGCAGTAAGTACGTCAATCGGGGGAGGGAAGGAAGACAAGAAATCTCCCGAAAAGGACGGGGGAAGGCTCCCACCAACCATGTGTGAGTGCCACTGGGCATCACTTTCCGTGCGGCATCGAGTCTCCTCTCAGCAATTCTACCTAACACACAGAAGGGAGCGCCAATGCATTCCGTGCAGAAGGCACACGCAGGTCGCCACAGCACACGCTCACAGCGCACCACCTTCCCACACCACATCCAACATTCAACATCCCAAATCTTGCCACGAATCGAATCAATCACACTGTCTGTCATCATCAATCACACTCCGCCAAAGATGCCTCCACATTGAGTGGGACCCACAAAAAAACACCCATTCACAATCGGCCGATGGATAAAGACAGACAGACAGACACGCCACACAATAAAACGGCAGTCACTGGTCGATCAGGCAGGACACCCTCACACACACACACACACACACGCACACACACACACGGCCCGGCCCCATTTGCGGCTGCATGTCCGTCCATTCAGGCCTGTGCTTGGCGTATGGGCTCGAAGGTGTATGTGGGGTTGGGCCAGGGGTGGTTGATGCCTGAACGTGACTGCCGCCCGGGGGTGGCCGAGCCGGGGGCTAGCGACACCTGATTAAACAACACACAAACACAACACACAACACAACACGTGGGTCGGCCGCTGCCCGCTGTCCGCTGTGGGGGAAGAGGTGGGTCTCTCTCACCTTCCAGTCCTGGATCAATCTTGCGAAGAGCGCACTGACCTCCGTCTCAGCGATGCGCGAACCCGGGCACATCCTCTTGCCACTGACGACGGACATGCAGACAGACAGACAGACAGACACACACATCGCACCAGCATGGATGGATGGATGGATGTGTGGGGCAGAGGGCGCATTCACTGACCGGCCAAAGTGCATGAGCAGATAAGGATCCCTCATGGTCTTGTCTCTGGCGGCCGCCATGGGGCATCCCTTGCTCGGCACGCCGCTGCTGCGCAGCCACCTCTCAGGCCTGCATACAACACACACGGGCACACAGCAGCCATCCAGCCATCGGTGCTTTGTGACACGTGTGTGTGTGTGTGTCTGTGTGTGTGAGTTAGATATCGGGCGCACTTGAATGAGTGCGGGTCGTCGAATATGGTTTCGTTCTTGAGGTAGGGGCTGGGCAGCATCTGGATGATCGTGTTGGCAGGGACGTTGTAGCCCTGCAGCTCAATGTCGTGGTCGAGCAGCCGCACAACGCCATCTACACACAAAAAAACAGAACACATACAGCCAGCGGGTTGGTTCTTGGCTTGCTGCGCTGCCTTTCACTCTGCCCACTGCCGACTGTGACGGGCGTCTTCCGGAAGGTCTCTCGGATGCACGCCCGCAGATACCTGTCAGACAGACCACACAATTGTGTGACGACACACACACCAATTGTGTGCAAAGAGGAAGGCATATATGCTGCCTGCAGTGAGGCTCGCTCACGTGCACTTGGAGATGTCTTCAGGTGTCAGGTGTCGGCCCTGCAGCAGTGTCTGCATCTCATGGCGGAGGGTCGTCTGCACGTCGGGGTGGGTGGCCAGGTAGTACATCAGCCACCTGGTGAGCCAGCAAAGCAAGACGCCGGCCACATAGCACACGACGCGCTGTGATGTGAATGGCCAGCTGGCTCACTTGATGACCGAAGAGGTCGTATCTACGCCGGCAATGAAAATGGCTGCACACATACACACACACACACGCGCACAGGTGTTCCTCTTGTTCGTTGCCCTCCACTCCCCAGTGCACTCGGCACTCGGCTCACTTCCAGTGTTGAGCACAAGTTCCTCTCGGGTGTCTTGATCGCTTTCAGCCAGCAGAGGCAGCTTGTGCGCCATCCAGCACTTCGTCGACGAACGGCCCCCGTCGCGATTGGCTTCACGGAGCCTATGCACCGTCTCCTGAATCACACACGCACACACACACACACACGCAACCAAAGCCAAGTGGCAGGGTGCACGTGTGAGTAGCTGGGTCGTCGTCTTGGCTTACGTCGATGTGCACGTTGGCACGGTCGAACAGCTGGTTCATTTGTCTGACCATATTGAGATACATGGGCGTGTCGACCTTGTTGCGCACCGCCTCCCTCTCGCGTGGGTCGAAAATCATCCTGTCCGCCTCGGCCATCAGATGGATGCCGCTGTAGAGAAACTCTTCATCTTCCTGCAATGACAATGATGGATTGACACACACATGCGGGTGTCTGGCGGCTCTGTGTGGGTTACGGGTGAGTTCTCTCTTGCGATGGCTCCGATGCGTTTGTCGAACAGCACCTGGCCGATCATCTCAAAGGTGACGCGGGGCACCCACTCGTCCATGCGATCTGACGCCTCCTGCACACACAAATAAGTGGGTCATAATGACAGGTTGCAATCGTCATTCATTCTGCCCGAGCTGACCGACCGGCAGGTGCTCAGATGCCTCCTTGACAGGCCTTTCCAGCAGCGGCAGGTAGGCCTGCGCGTCAGCGGGATTCAGCAGCTTCTCCTGGATGGACTCTGAGCAGAAATGGGAGCAGCACGGCACTCATATCGATCATATGTCACTGTCTGTGTGTGTGCGACGGTGTGTGTCTAGGTGTGTACTTGCCTCTCATCCGCTGCCACTGTGCACCGGTGGCCACAGGGAGCATCGGCTTGCCGTTCTCTTGGGCGTAGCGCGCCCAGTGGGGCAGGGAGATCACAGAACCAGACGGCCACACGCCTTCCGCACGGGACACCTGCAGTCACGTCACACCACATCCATCCATCCATGCATTGATTGTACGTCCAGACAGACACAAGGACAGACAGCGCGCGTGGCATGGCTGGACCTCCTGCGTGCGGGCTGACCTTTTCGATGTCCCGCGGGTTAAAGATATACACACGGACCTGGCCAAAGACCTGCATCGACACAACACAAGCATGCACACACAGACGTAGGGATGAGCCGTGGTACGTGGTCGTCTGTGGGTGGGGTGGGGGGGCTGACCCGTTCGTGTTTCACAGCGATGTCTCCGTACATCCTGTGATAGTACTGAACCACCTGCTCAGGGTCACCTGAAGTCACACACGCACACACACACGCACACGCACACGCACACGCACACAGCACCAAGCCATCATTCATCCCCCCATCCACTCATTCATATACAGCTGCCGATCTGGACACCATACCGTCTTTCGCCCCATGCTCGAGCAGCTCCTCGACAGTCGACGGACCTGGCGCCTCACTCAGCGGCCGCACACTGATCTCCCCAGCGCCAGCTACCCTGAACGTCAACGTGCTAGGCCGCCCTCCCTGCTGCTGTTGCGGTGTCTGTGGCAGATCGATGGAGTGCAGGAGGTTGGGCGGCGTATGCGCCTGCGTGCCGGAAACGGCTGCCTGCGCATGCCGAGTCTGCAAGCCCGCGCGTGAGGCGATCAATGATGGATGACGGGATGCGAACCGGCGCAGCATGACGGGCACGCGAGGGAATGGCAAGCAGCAAGCGGCGGAGGCGCTAGCAAGCGACCCTTCGAGCGAGCAGTTTCACGCAGTGTCCTAGGCCTGGCGGTTAAGCTTGACCGTTGAAAAACTGGTCAATGGCCCTCCTCTCGGGTGCCTTGGCTTCCCGCCCAGCCATTCATCGTGGCATCACACCTGATGAAGCGGCCGCTCTCCAGCAGCCTCTTTCGGTGGTCCCTTTACAGAGCGACGTACAGAGCGGCAGGAGTGGCCAGCTCTCCGGGCAATTACCGCCACTCCGCTCGCCACTCACACCCGGCCATCAGCTGCAGCAGAAGAGTCTACCGGTGGCGGGCACGCGAGTCGGTGGGAGCGGCCTAGGGCAGACAGGCCGGCCAGCTGTCGACGTTCCCCCATGGCCTTCTGGCCTGCTGCCGCACACCATCCTCTTGCACTGCCCGGCCGTGGCACAGCACCACTTTATTCCAAGGTACGGAAACCCAAACACATCACGCTAGCTGTCCTTTGGTGGTCCCTCCATGCTCTTCTCCCTTCTCACATATATGTGTGCGATGAGAAGCCCTTCCCTGTCGGGAAGTTTGGCTATCAGGAGACGAAACACGCCGCCACCGCACACCGACGGGCGATGGACGTGGTAGTGTCGCCTTGGCCTTCACCTGGCGGCGGGATAGCAGCTTACCGCCCGATTGACATCGTCAGTCCCCCCGCAACCGCCTCCACGCGGCCGATGTCGGAGCATCAAAGCGGTGTCAGAGGCGTCAGCTTCAACAAGTGCAAAAACTCATGGACGGCCACCTGGTGTGTGAACCGCATCCCCTATAGGACAAAGAAGTTCTCGGTGAGGAAATATGGCTATGAGGGCGCCAAGAAGGCCGCCATCGCACACAGGCGGGAGATGGAGCGATTGAAGCACTACTTCGACGGGCAGTGTGGCAGTCTCATGGCGATCCCTCCTGCCGAGCGCCATCGTCAGGGCGCTGTGGATCACCGGAGCGGCCCCCAGGAGGAGACCGACACAACAGACGGCTGCGCGGGGCCTCATGAGACCAGGGCTGGTGGGCAGCCAGCCGCCACGTCGGCCGCTGACATGGATGGCAGCAGCAGGGTGGAGGAGGACGTCATGCTGACTAAGCTGCTGGAGGGCGTGCGTGCGACTGATCCTGAGAGCGGCGGTCGGTATGAGATCGCCACAGTGACGGCGGCCGGCCGGCAGACAAAGGCAGTCCGGTGGAGGCCGTCGGGTTAGAGGAGACAACACAGGGCAAGGAAGGGCAGGATTGATCTGCCTGTGTGTCTGCTGATCAGAGGTGTGTGTAGCGTCTGACCGGCGTGATGTCCAGGACCAGGGTAATGGACACCCGGTTGGCTCAGCCGGGGTGCACCACTTCACCCATCGTCTCGGCTGTCCGCCTGTGTGCCTTTCAGGATTGGCTGATCCTTCGAAGCGCCGTATGCCAAGCAGCGCCCCTGTCGACCCCTGCAATGGCCGAGACCCCTCGCCGGACGGCAGCCGCCCTCCGAAGCGGCGGCGAACAGAGCCGCCGCAGAATGACTCGCATCATGAAGGACGACCAATGGGCCAGACAAACAAGACGGTCGTCACCAAGCACACCTCGGACATACCAGGGGTCTGTTGGTGTGCGTCGACCCGATCCTGGGTAGCCTCATGGGTCGAGAAGGGCGACAAGAGGCGGAAACACAAGTTCTTCAGCGCTCGTAGCTATGGATTCGACAAGGCCAAGGTGCGCATGACGCCGCCTATCACCACTAACGCCCCAAAAGAACTCTGGGTGTGTCGTTCGTGTGTGTGTGTGTGTGTGTGTGTTGTCCACTCAGGCGTTGGCCGAACAGCACCGACGTGAAATGGAAGACCACACCAAGGGCACTGTCATCACCAAATCCGGTGAGGAGCACAAGAAAGGAATTCAAACACCATCACTGACCTTCGTGTGGTCCCGCCAATTGCAGACCACCAGTCGGATGTGGCGCGTGTTCGTTGGCATGAGGATAAGCAGGCCTGGAGGGCATCGTGGTACGAGAAGGGCGACCCGAAGAAGAAGGAGAAGGACTTTTGCGTCAAAGATCATGGATTCGACAGAGCAAAGGTGCGCATGACGTCGCCCATTCCCTCTGTCTCGCTCTGAGTGTCCCATGTGTGTGCCTCCGTCCGTCAGGCGTTGGCCGAAGAGCATCGCCGTGAGCTGGAGCGCACCGGACGGGTGGTCGTCAGGAAGAGATCGGAGCACCAGAGCGGCGTCAAGGGCGTCAGCTATCACAAGGGCAAGAACTCATGGGTCGCCAACTGGTACGAGGGCGGCAAGCAGAAGTTAAAGCCGTTCTCTGTGCGGCAGCTGGGTATGGAGGGCGCTAAGAAGGCCGCCATAGCGCACAGGCGGGAGATGGAGCGACAGCATTACACATTCAAAGACAGGGGAGAGGCCGGTCGGCGAGACAAGGCTGGCGTCCACCGTGATCCATCCTTATGACTGTCTCTCTGTCTGTCTGTCTGGGTCTGTGTGTGTCACTGTTGCCGTCAGCAGGTCTCTCTTCGCCGCGTGACGACCAAGCGACTCTATCATCCCGCAATGCTCTAGCTGAGTCGTCCACAGCATCGCCAGCCGACCTCAGTTTTTCTCTTTACCCCGAGCTGATGGCTAAGGCCGTGAGCGCTTGCCAGACCACCGCCCCCCTCCCCAGCACCAGCGCGACTCAGACAGCTGCAGCCTCACCGCGTGTGGCCATCGCACCATGACTCGAGAGCATACTGACCGGTGTGGCCAATCAGAGAGGGACCACACAGCCGGAGGGAGGAATACTTCCATCCGATGACATGCGGCTGCAGCCAGGTAAGCACGACCCAGCGCACGATGGATACCCTCACAGCAGCAGTGATGTGTGTGTGTGTCAGGATTGATCTTTTCTGCGACGAGTTGGCGACACACGGCTTCTGTGGCGAGGGGCTATTCCTAGTCGAGACTTGACGAGAGCGACAGCACGGCTCCCAAGGCGATCGTGGTCCCTTTATGAGAGGGTTGCCCACTGGGCCTGCCTGTGCGGTCGCGACGACGACACACAGACGACCAGCCGTCATAGGTCGGCTGGTGATGTGTTGTGGGCCTCTAAGTAGAGCCGTCTTGCAAAATTTTGACGTGCGATTGATGGGGATGCAGAGGCGTGCAGTGTGCCTGTACGAGTGTGTGTGCCCTCTCGGGACAGAGAGTGTGTGGGACACATGAGTGGGGCGACGGAGTCTGAAAGCTCCGAGAGCAAATTGCAGTCGATTGCGTGAAACACACACGTCTGTGGTTTGTCACCGCAGCACAGCACTCGCACTCAGGGGTCACTTAGAGATACCAAAACGGGTCGGTCGCTACCAAAAGCTGCGTGGCAAAATCAGGCCATCGGTATGAATGAATGAATGGACGGGTGGGTGGGTGGAGTGTAGATTAGATATATACGGTGGATGCGAGTCAAAGCGCAGAGACAGACAGACAAGCAGAATAGTGACAAATCGTCCTGGTGTCTTGCTGTACAGTAGTGTGTGTGGGTGGGAAGTGGCGGTGTGTCACTCATGTGTGGGGAGGCAGGCCAGAGTCACTAGACAGCTCAGTTGGACGACAGACAAGGGAAGAGTCGTTTGCGTGTGAATGAGTGACAGAAAGACACACACGTACAGCCACACACACACAGACAGAGAGAGAGCAGGCCACGCACATCGTCACGTCACATTATATACCAATCCACCCACCCTTGCTCACTCAACTGTCTGTCCTGCAAACACACGGCAAAAAGCACCACATAGCACTAGTCGGCCCGGCCCCATCCTCCCTCCCTCCCTCCCACCAGGCAGGCAGGCACCAATATAC